TAAACAATACTTCATGCATAAAAATTGGTATTCAAGAGTTTTTGTCAAATGTTTTGTAAATTGTAATATAGTATAGATTTAATATTTAAAGAATTAAAAAATTAGTGCATTATTAAACCATTTTAAAACCTTGTACATTATTCAAACAAATTTTAATTAAAAAACCAAAATAAAAAACCCACTGATTGGTGTTGGATTCAATTCAACAAAGCAATGGTTTCTGGCCCCCATCTTTTTGGCCCAAAACTTTCCAGCCCATGAAGGCCCAATTCTAAACCCTAAAACTATGAATTGATTTAATCGGACGGTCAACAATCCATCTCCATAGTATTATATAAGCCCATAAAACCCTAACTATAGTCTCTCTCAGGTCACTTCTTGAGCTCACCTTAGGTTTCCAGGTATGATGTCTGAATTATCTAAGCGTTCTGTTGATTTTTGCTTTCTTAATCTTATATGTATGCTGACTAGAAATTTAATGTTGTGCAATGTTTGTGTTCTTGGAGACGATTACTTTCATTTTGATTCACGACCCTGTCTGTTTTTAGTTTTGCATATTCAAATAAGTAGTTTTAGCTTCAAAATTGATGGTCGATGTTCTTGATTTTAACGCAAGATAGTATCTATACTATGAACGCTTAATTAATTCATGTAGCTATAATTTTTTTCACGAAACAAAAACATTCGTTAACTTTTTTTTATTTTAAAATTGCGACTTTTAATTTGATATTCTTTTCCGAGTTTATTAGGAAAATGAGATTTGATGATGTGATGGTGTCTTTTTTTTCCGCCATGTTCTCCAGCATGCGTAATCTAGCTGGAGAAGTAACTGAATTTTGCAGATCTAGTGATTTGAAGATGTTTTAATAAGATTTTAATGTTCATTTCGTGATGGATTTTGAATAATAAGACTTTGTTTGCATGAATTATGTGCCAATACAGATGGGGTTAGATGGTGAAACTAATATTTTTGAGATGTGGTTCCTCTATCTAAATATAGTACCCCACATATGCCTACTGCCATGTGAAATTTTGATTCATTTAGATTGTTGTGTTTTCTCTTGTGAATACTTGGGAATGAACTTGTGAGTTTTGCAGATATATAACAAGCTAGGAAGGATGTCTCATCGCAAATTTGAGCATCCCAGACATGGATCATTGGGCTTTCTCCCTCGGAAAAGGGCTGCTCGTCACAGAGGAAAAGGTATAAATATAATGTTCTTTTGTGGTTTTAGTATTGTTTTGCCTGCCATTTTAATTCAATCTATGGAATGAGTCGTTTTTAGGGCATGTATAATTTGTATGGTATCATTTAATTATGTGCCAGTTCTTCGAGTAAATGCCAATTGCTTATATCTGTTTCTTGTGTTCAGATTGTGTACTTTTAGGTTGTCAACTGTTTGAACATTCTTGTTTTATTTTATTTGGCTGTTTCAATTAAGGATTTGTAGATTGTGTATGTTATTGTTGGATGCCAATGTTATTGTGGTTTTATTTTATTCGTTACTTTGCAACCAATCAAATAAAACAAGGATTTCTTTCAGACTGTTGCCGAGAAGTATCCATTCATATGACATCAATTTTCCTGCCCAATGTCTGAATGAATTCTTGGAGATGGTACATTTGGCTGACGATTGTTGTTTTTGGCCTCAAGAAATAACATGACTGACTATTCATCATAGTGATTAAATGTATTCTTACATAGAGGTGCCATATCTTATTGCCAACACCTCCTGTTCTAAATTATCAACCATATCATGAAACCATCTGTTAACATGTACAGTTAGTTTGTCATGGATTAGGTTATGAGTCTGTTACATATGTTTTTTGTTCTGGTATGATTTAGGTCCACTGCTTTGCTGTATTGTAGTTATGCACGTATATGTTGGTCTGTATATTTTTTTTGTTTTCTTGGTATTGTTGATCAAGCTTGTTGGATAGAACACTCCCTCAAAAGTCTTGAGGCAGTTCTTTTCACTTTCATAATTGATTTGTTGTTTAACCTTCTATCTGAACTTATTTGCTTTCTAGTTAAGATAAAATGGTTACCGTTGCATTGTCTGCTGTGCTTATGGTGTATTTGTTTTGGTTTTTGCAGTGAAGGCATTCCCCAAGGATGATTCTACCAAACCTTGCAGACTAACTGCCTTCTTGGGATACAAAGCTGGGATGACCCACATTGTTAGAGAAGTTGAGAAGCCTGGGTCAAGTGAGTTCTTTCTATTTGTGTACTTTTTTCATCTTAACTAGTTGGGAGGGCAATTTTGCTTTTCATTTCTTGTATATAAAAGAGCTTTAAATATTTGGATAGTAGGCACATGTTAATTCTTTAGTCTTGTACAAGGAACTTAGTTATTCTCCTCCCACACAATGTCTTGGTTTGTATGTTTAGTATTTTCTTTCTCCTAATTTTACCTTTTTTATTTTCGGTAGAGATTGGGAGTAATGTAATGACCACCATTGTATTTGGCAAGTCATAATTTTATTTTGGTTTTTCTCCATAGAACTTCACAAGAAAGAGACATGTGAAGCAGTGACGATTATTGAGACACCCCCGATGGTGGTGGTAGGATTGGTGGGTTATGTCAAGACCCCACGGGGCCTCCGCAGTCTCAATACTGTTTGGGCTCAGCATCTGAGTGAGGATATCAAGAGGAGATTTTACAAGAACTGGTGCAAATCAAAGAAGAAAGCTTTTGCCAAATACTCRTTGAAGTATGAAACCGAGCCAGGGAAGAAGGACATTCAGTCCCAGTTGGAGAAGATGAAGAAATACTGCAATGTCATCCGTGTGCTTGCCCACACACAGGTGCTATTATTTACCTGATCAAATTTCATTGAATTTGTGTTCTGGAAACAAAAAGATGAAAGACATCAATATATATGTTATATATATATTAAAAGAAAATACAATAAACTGGTAAAAAAGATAGACAGTAAAAGGGTTCTTTTTTAAAGCACCTGTTTTTTACAAGCAGCTGTGACTAGGCAAGAACCAGTAGCGAGTGTAAGAACCTGTTGAAGAACATCCATTGTGCACACTCTTATTTACATTATGGAATGTGTTTTAACCAGATCCGAAAGATGAAAGGTCTTAAGCAGAAGAAGGCCCATCTGATGGAGATTCAAGTGAACGGTGGCAATGTGGCACAAAAAGTTGATTTTGGCTACAACTTTTTTGAGAAGCAGATCCCCATTGATGCTGTTTTTGGGAAAGATGAAATGATTGACATCATTGGTGTGACCAAGGGTAAGGGTTATGAAGGTGTGGTGACCCGTTGGGGCGTGACCCGTCTACCTCGCAAGACCCATCGTGGGCTGCGGAAGGTTGCTTGTATTGGAGCATGGCATCCTGCTAGGGTTTCATTCACCGTTGCACGAGCTGGACAGAATGGTTATCATCACCGGACTGAAATGAATAAGAAGATCTACAAACTCGGGAAGGCTGGCCAGGAGTCCCATTCTGCAGTCACTGAATACGACAGGTTTGTTTGGTTTGATGATGTTTTTTTTAAAATTATAAACTAGGCAGCAGCTCTAATGATGGGTGGATATTTGTAGGACCGAGAAAGATATAACCCCAATGGGAGGGTTCCCTCACTATGGGGTGGTGAAGGACGACTTTCTGATGATAAAGGGGTGCTGTGTGGGACCGAAGAAGCGCGTGGTGACATTGAGACAATCGTTGTTGAACCAGACATCAAGGCTTGCATTGGAAGAGATCAAGCTGAAGTTCATCGACACATCCTCCAAGTTTGGGCATGGTCGTTTCCAGACTGCTGATGAGAAGTCCAAGTTCTACGGACGAACAAAGGCATAAGAATGGTTTACATGGAATTTTGTTTAGTCATCTTTTTGTCATTCATACAGACCTGGGTTTTGAGAGATTTTGCTTTTCCGATTTAGAACTGGCGATGTTATGAAGTTTGTTTGGTTTTGTTCCTTGAAATTGCATGTTTGGCAGACAATGTTTTTTCTTGTTGCATAATTGAATTTTGGATATTGTGTTTTGCAGAATTGAATTTCGAAAGCATGAGTTTTCTGGGTAGGTGATTATCATGTCATTTTTATCTTGTCCAACTAGGTTCAATGGTAAGCTTATGTCATTTTTATCTTGTCCAACTAGGTTCAAAGGTAAGCTTTTATCGGATAAAAATGTTTGAATTAAATCTTACCTCATAAATTTAATTTTTTTTTCCTATTGTCGGTGGGCTCTGATTGGTCGTACAATTATCAGTGTTACATATGGCGATGCTTAACAATGCTGATGTTGAACCATGGATGAAAAATGTTTGTAGCTATAAAATTAATTTTTATATTTGGCATTTATGATATTTAAATAAAAAAAAATTGCAACAAAATGGAACCAACTTTCACTTGATTCTTATTTTAGGGAACCAATTTTCAAAATTGTCATTTAGGAGTTTCTATCAAACTTTTTGTTTATTTAAGGGTCTGGTTGATCTGTTTGTTCAACAGGTAATTTAAAGGTCTCGATCAAACTTTTGGTTTGATTTGCCAAATTTGATTTAAACTTTAATAGTGATACGGATTGGTTAGATATAAAAATAATGAATGTGATATTTAATATTTATTTTTTATTTCATCAATTAATTTTTATCTATTAAATTGATTTTTTATTACATTAGTAAAAAATAATTTTTATTGTAGTAATTTGGATTTTTTTTGTAAAAATCTTAAATTTAATATTTGAATTTAAAAAAAAATAAGATTTGAAATGAAAAATAGATTTTATTGCATTAATTTTTGAAAAAAAAAAGACGAATTTTAGTTATTTTTCTATAATTATTTTGCAAGTTGGTTTCCCAAAATGACGATTTTGAAAGTTGGTTCTCCAAAATAGAAATCATGTGAAAGTTGGTTCTATTTTGATGCAATTTTCCCTTATATAAATTTGACGAGTTTTAAACAATCTAAGGTTTTTCTTTGTATTATAGTAAAAAAGTAGTTTCTAAATAATACAAAATTAAAACAAAGGACCAGTTAAGCCTATTCCACTATTAAACAGTATTTCTCCACATTTAATATTTAATATTCTTTTTTTATTTTAATTAATTATTTCGTATAGCATTTAACTTGATGCATATATTCCAAGTTGTTTGAAATTAAAAATAAAAAATTATTTATATATAGCACAATAAATTTCTTTTTATTAAAAAGTGTTTGTAATTTATATGAAAGTAGTTAATAAGTTATAAGTTAGTGTAATTGCAGCAGCCTTAACTTTGTGTCTTTATGGCAGCTTTCACTTGTATTATTAATTAATGGATGATTATGTTTATCATCTTTCCCATTCTAAAACCACATTACCCGACCGAGTCAACTCGGGTTATCCCGATCCATGGGTTTTCATGATTCAGGCTTCTTCGATCCTGTCGTTGATTTATACGAATGCATCGTTTCTACTTTCTTAAAACGCATGCCGTGACATGGATTTCAAATCCCAATCGCTAGAAAATGAAATAAGAATCAAACACGAGAAAAATGAATCCGGGTCGACCCATCTCCATTGTTAAATGAAAAGTGAAGATTGTATTGCTTTTGGAAAAGAACCAATATGATACAACTTGTTGTCACTTTTCATATTAAATAAATCAAAATCTCAGATATAAATTTAGGAGCTGTTTGACAATTGTTGAATGTTGAATGGTTTGGTGCAGAATGATTAAGTGGTCAGAATGATTAAGAGGCTCTCATGATATACTGCAAAATGAAATATAATTGTTTGATAATTGTGTACAATGAAATCATGGCTCTTAATGGTTAAGGGAGATCTAGGATACAAAATCATTCGGAGGGTTTTAGAACCATTAAGAGACATACTTTTTTTTGTCAAACAAGATTTACCTCTTAACGATTCAGATGTTGCCTCTTAATAAAACTATCAAGATGTAAACGAACAACCTCTTGATAAAAATGTTTGATTATTAATCAAATGTCTAAATTATATTTAAAAAAAGTACATATTTTGTAGTAATAAAACTGCAAAACATTGAAATATATGTTTTACAGTATCATTTACGATAACTGTTAATAGTTTATAATACAAATATAGTTTTTTTTTTTTTTTTTTTTATGGTTGCTCATACTTTTATAGTGAAAGTAAGCATCCAAAAGAGAGTTAACATCAAAGGCCTTCTCTATAACCTTTCTCTCTTGCTCCAAAGCCAAAAACACCAAAACCATGGGTGAGTTCGATTCCGGAAGATCCAAGTACGTGACTTCGCACGAGACGCCACCTCAAGGGGATACCGACGGTTTGTGGATGAACTATGGGACCTCGATTTCTTTGGGATTTGTTGCAACTGGTGTCTTGATATCCATGTTCGTGATCATGGCCATCTTTGAACATCTGTTCAAACCCAATGCTTCATTCCGTTTGACTCAACACACGGGCCATAGGCCGAATGACATGCAAAAGCTCGTAGATCCACAACCACCTGTAAGTTACTTCCTGATATTCAAAGTCGATCATTTAGAATCTACGTTTGGTTGCAATGAACCAATGTACGTATGATACAAGTCACTAAGGCATCTCGTCTGTGACAGGTACAATCAGGATACAGGTCAGATTTATCAGTATTGATGCCAGGGAAACAATACCCAACGTACATTGCACATCCGACACCTCTACCTTGTTTAAGGGAAGGAGTGTATTGGCCTTCACATCGTCAACACAACTTGGTCCATCCTTAGCGTTTTAGATTGGTGATTTTTGGTTTATGCATCAAATGGTTGTACCTTTTTCTCCATATACAACTTATTTAGTTTTCTCCCGAGACATATTACTTCTAAGATATTTTTGTTGTTGCAAAACCCCAGTATTCGATGTTGATCTGGTAACATTGAAATAAACGGGGAATATTTATTTGAGATTTTAAGGGAATTGAACCCTACACGAATCAAACGTGGAGTCTTATGTTTGTTCGATTCGGTTGGGTCGGGTGGAATGAGAAAATGAATGGACGAAGAAAGTAATGGAATGATCGGTTATCGTTATGATTGCATCTTTTTACTATTTCTAGAATGGAATATATATATATATATATATATATATATAAAATGTCAGATACTGTGTCGTTTACATTTAATTTTTTTTCCTGTTGAAACTTATAGTTTATTGAAATTACAATGTCTGAATTGATAAACTGATAAATCAAAATATCAAATGACATTAAAATAAACCATATTTGCTTTCAATATGATTTTAAATAAATAATTTTCAATTTTTTTATTTGAGATATTATTGATAAAAATCATATACCCTAAAATAAAGATAGATTTTATTTTATTTTATTTGCGAAAAACCAAATTAAAAACTCTTTATTCAATAAATCCAATATGTTTATAAAAAAAACTGTTTTTATATTCCAAAAATAAAAAGTTAATAATTTTTTTTTTCACAAAATAAAAAGAGAAGGGTATGTTTATGGGGGTATTGAACCCGACGTGAATCGAACACGCAACCTTCTGATCTGGAGTCAGACGCGCTACCATTGCGCCACGGATCCCTTTGTGCCTTATAGCGGATATATATTTATTTAGATCATTCTCTTCACATGTCGTTTCGGTTTCCATTTTGTTTTTTTAGAAACCGAACCGGATATCATGTGTACATTATATTTAAATATTAAATATATGTGAGTTATTATGCAACCATTTACATTTGTATAACTCAATTTTAATCGTCTATTTTTATTTATGAATATGTGATTTCATGTCATTCAAGTTGCTGTCAATTTGCTAACTAGACTCCTCTACAGATGTCACCATTGTTTGGGTCATGATTCTTTTGGACTTGGCTGTTCTTATCATTTCAATTTTCAAGTTAATTTATGCAGAAAATACCTACAACTCGGCAATGCAGATACTTTATTAGACCACCAACATCAGGAACAAGGACGTAGTCAGAGCCTATACAGAGGCAAACACACAAAAAGCAAGATGTTAGCATCATGTTATCAATAGTCAGAGTTTATGTAAGACCATGTTTTCCATGAAGAGGAGTTATTACACTTAAACTGTATACGTTGATGTCATGTTAGTAATGGCCAATGATACCAAGACTAGTGGATATTGTGAATCAGTTAAGATAGTTACATATGTACGTTTTTTCTGCCATCTTGAACTTTTTATATATTAAGGTTTTTCTTGGTAAAAGATTTGATTTCTCTTGTCGTTCTCTCATATCTACTGATCTTTCTTTTTCAAATTGATCGACTGATCCATCCTCTCGATATTATTTTGGTGCAACTCTTGATCAGATAGTGCTTTAGGTTTGGATTATTGTTAATACCTGTTGTATCTGTGTTATAAATGTTAAAGTTTCTTCAAGGGTGCTTTGGTAATTTACTTACATTATTTACAAAAACATAATGATGAGAAAATGAAACAGCATATAAATATTACTTTTTTGTTTAATTTAATGATGTTAACTATGATATATCATATATATTTTTTTCCAAAATTTTAAATATTAAATTAACAAAAGTAATTATTTTAATAAATTATTCTAGAAATTTCTTATCATTCACCTTTTTCTAGTCATTTCATACCCCAGCTAATCACCACCATGTTTCTTTCTGTAAACATTTATATTTATTATTATACAACACAATTTTAGTTACATTCTTATATAATCGTTTGTCCTTTTGCTTTTTTATCTTTTTATATTATATTTTTGCTTATTATAAAATAACATTATTTGTAGTATAATTAACACGTGAAAGTCGTGTATACTTTTGTATTTCTCAACACCACCTATTAATTGGAAATAGAAATGAGAATTTTTGGAGTTTGGAGATCAACCCACATCTGTAAACTATAAAAGAAAATGAGAATAATGAAATCATGAAGCAATTAAGAATTATAAATTAACTAATAAAAAAAATGTTTGATTTAAAATGAAATTACATATTTAAAGAAGGATTTTTAAGGGCAGAAATGGAAATGAAGTAGAGGAAGAAAAAGATGATAAAAATAAAGAGCATTAATATTGGAGGTGGTAGACGTAAGGTAATAATATATATAATAATACGTAAATAAATAAATATAAGAATCTAATTTTATATATATATATATATATATATATATATATAATAATAATAATAATAATAATAATAATAATAATGGGTTCAATCAAGAAAGAACTCGATTGTTTGTGATAACTATGCGATCGAATCTCAACCACACATTATTAATAATCAATGATTATTATTAAACATATTAATTTTGGTAATTATTCATTAGTTTTGATAATTATTCTTTAATTTTCAAATAATTTAAATATACTGATAATATATAGGGGTAAATTAATCTTTTTAAAATCTCTCTTCTCTCTCCCCTGCTCTCTCTCTCCGACCAATAATTTCTAACAGTGAAACACAAAACAAATATAATACACGCTGTTATACCTAAGAATTTATAACAGTAAGACACAAAACCAATTGTGTTTCACAGTGTGACACCACTGTGATAAAGTTTTGAACATGAGTTGATAATAGATGTGATCTGAGTTTTAGGTCACACACAACCACAATGTAATACACGACTGTGATACAATTTTGTCGATATAATTAAGGAAACCAAATTCTTGATAATTAAGGAAACCAAATTTGATAACTATTAAATAAGAAAAATATTTAAATTATAATTAATCATTTTACTAAAACGTCATTTACTATTAATTAAGGTAATACAATTAATATCATAAAATGATAGGCTCATATTAGACTTTATGGTTACCATAAAAACTAATCAGTTCTAATTTGATTAGGGCCATATAAAATAATATGTAAATAATATACAATAAAGTAATATAATAATAATATAATAAATGCTAATATATAAAATCAAAAGTATAAAATAATAAAATAACATAAAAAGAATAAAACAATATATACTTATCTAATATAAATATATAAAATATAACAAAATTAATAAGATATAAATATATATATCTAATTGAGTTGACGATTATTAAAAAAAATGATTGGCTTAAATTCTAAAACAATGTACAACGAATAAGATTTGAAGAGTGTAAGACTCAAATGTAAAAACATGAATTTGAGAAATTAAATATTTATATAAAAAAAGATGTGATAATTTCAAAACAATCAACACTTCATGTTAAACTAGTTATGTACCTACGTAATGTGACGAGAGCCGTGAATTTTAATGATTTTGAAGTTTCATTTGTTTTATTAGAGAAAATTTAACGATGATTTAAGTTACACTTGGTCTTTACGTATTAATACAATTTTAATAAATAAGAGTTATAGTTCCAATTATAGTCTATTGATTAAAAAAATTGTATGACAGTTTAAAATCCAATATAATTAAAATCCAACATATTTAAACGACTCCACAAATGTGTTCGATTTACACCAAGAGCAATTAATCAAGAGATTGAGAGCGAGACCGAGAGTTCTAGAGCAATTGAATGTGAGATGAATGAAAAAACTTTTAATAACTCATGATGAATATCAGTTTGAATCTCACATTGAGGGATGAGAATAAGACATAGAGGTATGAGAGGGTGAAGACATGAGTGAAATGTGTTAAAAGCATTTTGGGAACATGAAAAGAAAAAGTAACAATGTGCATTGGTAATTTGTACTATATGTTATTTTAATTGTAGATTAAGAGATTTTAAGACTGAATGCATAAATTAGTAGTATTTAATGTATTATGAGTTGTTTTTAAAACTTTGTGCATTAAAAATTATTTTTAAAACTTTTGATAAATCTGATTTATAAAACATTATAGATGAAAATAAAGATAAGAATCTTAAAATTTGAAGACCAACCCACATCTATTGAGATAAAACTACTTAAATCAATTTTTATAGATTTGTAATATTTATTGATTAATGTTTCAATAAGTGAATCTATTGATTTGGAAATTATTTTCTTGTATATACACTCCACTCTCTCCACTCCTTGAGAGAGAAAGAGAGAAAGAGAATGAAAGGGTATTCAAAGATGAAGCTGATGGACAGAAGCTCCAAATCAAGATCCATTGATTTCTCAGATCTCACTTCATTTCCTTCACAACCCCTTGAAATCAAAACCACCAGATTCATCCTCACCATCCCAAAATCCACCACCGCCGCCGCCGTGCAACCACCAAGCTCCGACATCCAATACAAATTCTATGGCGATGATGATGATGGCGGTGCTAAAACTAAAGAGAGCAGTAGAAGACTGCAAAGCACAGTGAAAAGGGCTTTCTCCATCAGAAGATCTTCATCTGTTTCAGAAAAGTATTGCAGGATCCACGATCATTCTGTGACTCCTGAAACCACTCTCTTCAATAATGGCGATGAAGATCGCCAGATAACAGGATCTACAAACAAACCAAACAAGGGAAGGGTGATGATGATGAAAGTCTGCAAACGCATTTTTGGACTCTAATTTCAGAGACCATCACTATTCTGATTTAAGTACTTGTTATGCACCACCACCGCCATCCCTTAATTTCGTTTTCAAGTTTTAAATCAAAATTATATAATCATTCATATTTATTTCTATTAATATTATTTATATATATATATATATATATATATTGTTAGCCTAGAGTGTCCGAACCAACTTTCACATGTCTCTATTACTTTTAAGGACCTGGAGAACAACCAAGAAAATCCCCAACTAAATATTATTACGGATGTATCGGGTGATATGTTATGTCATGATTAT